AATAATAGTTTATTTGTGCATTAAATTCAACCAACATAGATAAACAGGTTTAGGGTTAATCCTATTGATTGCATGTTAATTAGAAAGCGCACACGAATACGATCAGAATAAAGTAGAGGCCTATTATTAGGGCAGGTTCAATCTCTTTTAGGTTGGATTTGTACCATCATCCCCGAACCCTTATTTGGTTCTAGACCTAATGGAGTTGACGATCTCTTGGATCGTGAAGGGGTGTAACCTTCATCCTATGAACGGTTTACAAGTTCCTAAAACTTGTTGGCGAATCTTTTGCTCTATCTTCTTCCCTTTTGGACGCCACCGTACTTTAGTGTATGATCACAGTGGGGTTCAAGCTAGGGGTTTAATGCTTGAAAATATTCCCTACAATGCCGATGTCGTATACAGCTTCGAAAGTGTTCAGTGGAAGAAATTTGAGATGTTCCCTATATTTATGAGTCAGATTTTGAATAAAGAGGCGAACCATCTCTCTTTCTTTGGGAGGATCTACCAAGAGTGAAGCTGCTTCCGTCCACCTGTTCAGGTAAGCGGTGAAGCCTTCATTCTCTTTCTGTTTGAGAATGGAGAGTTCACGTTCAGAAGTTTTAGTTTGAATGTTACACTTATAACGATTCATGAAACTGTCGGTGAGATCTTGCCAAGTCGCATTATGTTTGGCGTCTAGGGAATAAAACCATTATTGGCAAGCATGTTCTAAGGAGATAGGGAACACCGTAGGGAAGAGTGTTACGTCCAATCCCTTAAGAGCCATGGTTGCAGAGAACGCCTTCAAATGGAATATTAGATTGTCAGTAGGCTTGAACTTTGGAATATCAGCAGTGGAGAACTTTTCAGGGAGTCTTTCCTTCACATCCAAAGGAGTGGGAGGCCGTTCCACATAAGTGAAATCCTCAGAAATCTTACTCATTTGTTCCTTCAATTTGTCAAGGGTGGAAACAGTGACCTTGTTTTGTTCCATGGTAGTGACCCTAGTGGTAAGGGTTTGCATCATGGCAGACAGTGCCTCGATGGATTTGTTGATGTTCTCAATATCTTCTTTAGTGGCCATTGAAAGGTGATAAGTAATGTGGAGATGGAAAAGTTCTCTTGAATGCCTATTAGATCCGAGAGATTGTTGCGGTAATGACTCGAACCGTATTAATCTATCCATGTTCCTTGACCAATTACTGTGAAATAAAATAACACTTAATTGTTAAACTTATTGCTCAAGATAGGAAAGGAAGGAAAAAATAGACATTTGAAAACAGGTGAGAAAACTCCATTCATTTTTTTATTATGACGAAAAAAGGGTGCATGAACCTAATATACGTTCATAAACGACGCGGTGGTTTTTTTTTTTTTTTTTGGAAATTGCCGTGACACGGTGAACTTTCCCGTGACACGATGGACTTTCCCGTGACACAGTGGAATTTCCCGTGCCACGGTGGATGCTGACGTGGCACGAGATTTATTTATTTATTTATTTATTTATTTATATATTTTTACTAATTACTAAATGAGTACGGTCTATTAGGAATCGTCAGTCATAAAATAATCCACCATAGACAAAGAAAGATCGTTAAGGTTAGGATCAAAACGACCAAGCATAAAACACGTAGGCACAATGATGCAAGAATAGTTCGCAACCTAAGGTCAAGTTCTATGTTCGACTATGGTCAAGTTTATTTGGTGTCGATAGGGTACCATGGTTAAGAGTTTGGACGCGTTAGCAAGGCAGCCTCCCTTGAGGGTGTATGCCAACGGGCGGCTCCGCGAGTTCGTGATGAAATCGAACTCGACTCCATGGTTTGGGTGGATTTAATAACTCGGATGAACCCTCATTGCCATGAGCGTTTTTGGGTTGATAGAGCTTAAATCCCCTAGGGCTAAGACACATGTAGAACACACACTTTTTTTTTCAGAAAAATCGAAGGAAGTTGACTGTGAGAAGGTAAAACAAGCCACCAGACTTATTTTAGGACTGCTGTGACACGACACAGATTCCCGTGCCACGGTACTGCACACCGTCAGACGGTGCACTATACCGTGTCGCGGCAGATTCTGCCGTGGCACGACAGTAGGAAAATCTGACTGGTACCCTGTTTTCCGTCGTACGCAATCAAGTTATTCAATTTCTCCTATGGGACAGACCTAAATGCGACATTAAAACGTCTATGCATATGCAAAAATGAAAAATTAATCACAGGAATATTTTTCAAGAATCTTTCAAGTCTCATCCACTCATCTTAATTAAATACCGATCACTCAAATCGATAAATAACCAAGAATCTTCCCCAGTGGAGTCGCCAAATTGTGGGCGTCGCTCGAAGTGCGCCTATGTTAAAGCATGTGGTGAGTATGCTTGGCACTCTTAGGAAGTGGGAATTGACATTACGATTAGGGACAAGGAAAGAAGGGAGTCGCCAACAAGTTTTTAAGGAACTTGTAAACCGTTCACGGATCATAAAAAAAAAGGCAACCACGATAAGGGACAACCATAGGCAACAACGATTGACCCGTAAAGGTTACACCCCATTCATAATCCATGAGATTACTAACTCCATATGGTTCGGAACCACGAAAGGAGGATCGAGGATGATGGTACGAAGTGAGTCATGGAGTCACATTCGCCCGTATTGGCCTCTACTCGATTCTTATAGTGAAAAATGATTCATGCGATCTCAAAGGCATACAAACAAAAAATTCAATTTGCTCCAAACTATTATTAAGCTAAATTGATTGAATATTAATGCAACACATAATTCTAAAATATTTGTGATCACTTGAATTAATAACAAGATTAAAAAGGATCCTAAACCGGTTGTCCAAATTATCTTATTAGGCGTGATTTTCATTTAAATATTCCCTTTAAACATGCAATATAGTGATCAATAAATAATAATAGAATAAACATTAATATTGGAAGAAATTCAACAATAAATTGTTAGTCAAATCAAATATAAAATAACCTAATCATGATACTAGCAATATAAAATAAAATAAGAGTAATTAATTTAATTAATTACTCACATTCTTCGCGTTCCTTTAAATTGCTACATCATGAATAAATTGTTAGTAACTTCAATAAAAATATAAATCAAATGGAAATTAAATAAAATAAAAAGTAAAGTTGATTTGGTCCAAACCCTCAGTTATTTGTAATTTTCACGCCTTGGTTTAAGGACGGAACCTCGGGTTTAGTATATACTCCTTGGAGTGCTTAGGGGAATTATTAAGGAAGAATAAGGAGGCTAGAAATTAAGTTAAAGAGGGAGAAGAGAATGATTTTTGGTGTAAGGTGAGAGAGAATAATTATTGGTGCCCCGAACTGCAGAAAGGGGGGTCCTATTTATAGGGAAAATGAGTAGAGGGAACACGCGGAACCCTAAAAAGATAAAAACCCTAAAAAATAATACCATGTCACGGCAAAGAGCACCGTAACACGGTGACAAGCACCGTCAAACGGGGGAAGATCCCGTGACACGGGGAAAAACTGAGTGACGCGGGAAATAATTAGGTTACGGGAAGTGAAAATGCGTTTAGGGATTACGCGGAGAAAACACGGAGAAATCCCATGTCACGGGATGTGCACCGTGACAAGGGAAGAAATGCCGTGACACGGCGTTGTCCACCGTGGCATAGTGCAGTATGCTGTGTCACGGTGTAAAAAGTACGCGGAAATTACTTGGAATATCCCCGTGTCACGGAATGGACACCGTGCTACAGGAAATTGCACCATGACACGGTGCAAAATCCCGTGACACGGGAGAAAATTAGAAAAATGGGCACCGTGTCACGTCAGCTTTTTCCGCGTCGCGACATTTTTGCTGATGTGCGGTAATTTCAGTTTTTTTACCCGTTTTAAAAATAATCATAACTTTTGATCCGTAACTTGGAATAAGGCATATAATATATCATTGGAAATATTATCAAGTATAATTTCCAACCCAATTTAATTCAATTCAAAATGATATGTAGATATTAAGATATGGCCGTTTTAGTGGAAGGCTGTCGGTTTTAAGCCGAGTTTAGTGTTTTGCTCATATCTTTTTCGTTATAGCTCGGAATGGGGCTTATGATATATGGCTGGAAAGCTTATTTAAAGGCCTATCCAAAAAAATAATAATTGGATCAAAATTGTATATTCATAAAATCAGTTTCTCTTAGTTTTGCGATGTGGACACGAAAAGTGGAAAATAGGTTATGGTTTAGGGAAATGAGCTAGAAATTTGATTGGTTCATGAAATATATTGGATAGAACATGGATTTAAGCACTCCAAATATTAAATACTCAACTCGACCAATAATGGTGGTGAAAGGTATTCATCAAGGGGTTTGGTTTTCGGGAGACATTTTTAGGTGTCTACATGCTCATATTCTCGAGCTCGGGTAGGACTTTGCTTAAGGTCCAAGTACGATTTGTCTCCTATTAAGATTTAAATAAATTCAAATCGGATTGTTTTCATTGGATCGGTTCGAATTTGGATCGAACTCTAATTGAATTGTCATCCCTAGTGTGATGGTGACTAAGAAATGAGAATGGAAATACCTAGGGGATGAGGAATTGAATTAACTTGAAAAGATTTAGGGAATGGAAAGGGTAAAGGGAATAGGAAAAAAGGCTTAATGAAAAACAAAAAATGTAATGAAGAAAGTTAATTTCCATTCTGTTTTATATATATCCCTAACTAAACAACCCTTCAATTAATTATTTAACGCCTCAGGACACTCATTAACAAGATCTTCACAATTAAGGTTACACATACAATTGTTGTATTTGGTCCCTACATAAAACCACAATTTTTCATGTTTTTATTAGTTAAAATTATGGGTCCAAGTTTCATTTGAATTCAACTTATATTTGACTTCTAGTTTTCTTCCCTTTTTTATGACGTGTCAAATTTCTAATGGTATTGTATGTAAGGACCACATACATTGTATGTGTATCAGCTCTCGATCTTCACAAAGTACATTTCTACTCCAAATTCTACAATTGCCATCAACCACCTGCTCGTTGGTTGGCAAACTAACTTTTAACAGCACAAGAGAAAAGTAGGCGATGCAATCGAAGTACACTCTAACAACAAAACCCAAAATCTTGTGGTAAAGAAGAATGTTATTTGTTGTTGGTGCTTCAAACCTGTAAACACTCCTACACTACCATCTTCCCTTAATTTCTCCGCCAATTTTCTTCTTCCTATAAAAAATTAATCAAACACCCAACTTCTCTGTCTCATCCATCTTTCTACCAGTGGCAATTTCCAATGGCTACTAGCATTCAGTCTTTGGGTGCTTCATCATATTTCTCTTCTGTCAATTTAATCGATTCCAGGAATTTTCATGGTAAAATTTAGGATTTACAGTGGTTTGATTCATCTGATGCTAATAGATTCTAAGTTTGCAATAATAGAACAATCACAATAATTTCTGTGGGTTTTATCTTGAAAATTAGTGGAATTTTGATTAATTTGTTGATCAGTTTTCAAAAACTTGTTATTGATTTTATGTTACCAATTTAGGAAGGAAAGTTGGGTTTGTGTTAGTAAGATCGGACCTCAATGCGAAACGTGGCTTGATGTCAGGCCGTTGTCGGACTGGGAAATTGGTTTCTCAGGCTGTTTCTGTAAGTAATTTTTATCCAATTATTATCTAATTATGTATTCTAAATCATTAGGAAATTTTCTTATTATACTTGTATAAAGCTAATTTAAAAAAAAAAATTAATCATGCATTGTGCATTTTTGAAATTAGGAACTTAAACTTGATTTTAATGTTGTTTTATTTTTGCAGACACCAGCAGCTTCTACCGCGCCTTTAAAAACCGGGTAAGCACTATGCTATATTGCCTATATGAAGGCATTTTATGCCATTTTCTCATGTGATTATTTTGGACCTTGGAGATTTTGGCTTGTTGTTTTGTTCTTTATACTTCAAAAGATAGTAACTAGATTTCTCTAATATTGTTGGTATTATTGATTGTTTGAGTTTTTGCTTACTTTACAGGTGATTAGTACATTTTCATATTTAAGCAAACTACATATATTTCTCTGTCTATGTTATGGATGTACTGGTAGCATATAAGATTCAGTTAAATTTGAATTTGCTCTAAGAATAGAAATCACTCTTAACTATGTAAGACAACTAACATAATGACTCTTTTGCATCCATTGGCAATTCTTTTGAACCTCTCTTCTACAGTCACAATACTCACAAATCATGATCTGGAATGATACTCTTAGAACCATGCTGTTGGTTGGAAAACTTATTTTAGGTAAATAATCTTTTTCAAAGTTCATGTGGTAAGGATATATTCTCAACCGGTTCATTGGTTTTAGTCTATGATAGAAGCCACCATTATTTAGAAAGCATACAACTACTTTTTTGGGTACTTGAGGGATTTCTATGTGTTAGTGTGTAACTGATTCTTTCTTCTAGTCCATTTTCCTTGGCTTAAACCGAGTTCAAATATTTTGGATTACTAATAATAAATTATTAGAGTTCTAGATCGTTTTTCATTACATGATGGAGTCTTGGCAAACTATAATTTTAGGGATATTCTCATTAGTAGTTTCTTCTTCTTTACCTTCTTCTTCTTCTTCTTCTTCTTTACCTTCTTCTTCTTCTTCTTTACCTTCTTCTTTGTTCTCAAGGCTCAATTTTTCTACCATTAACAAACATTCACTTTCTTGGCCCGCTCTCTCAACTTAGGTTCCGTTCACTTCACTATATATATATATATACATGTATGTGTGTATACATGTATGTGTTTATACATGTATATATATGTATACATATATATACATGTATATATATATATGTGTGTGTACATATATATACATGTATGTGAATATTCTTTGCGTTATATAGTGCCTACTAATTGTTACAAAATAACTTAAAAGTTTTAGGGTGCTGCACCCCCATACTTAGTGACAAAGCCTTAAGCCACTTTAAATCGCAAGTAATAGCTGCCATAGACCAATGTTTTGCTGTGACAACCGTGTGACACTGTGTAATGCTTCTTTGTTTTCCACGAGTGATTAGACAAGCAGCCACGCACCAGACAAACCCTATATAGTCAAATCACAGTCTACCCAAACCCTATATAGTCAAATCAGAGTCTACTCGCAATAAAACACCATGGAGTACCTTTCAAATAGCATACTACCCTCAAGGCGACATTCCAATGATCGCTCCACATGAAATATGAACTCAGTATCCAAGTCAGGACGCGTGACCGCTGCAAGAAATCAGCCCAAACCCGATATACGCTTCACCTATTCTAGAAGGCTCAAGAATTAATTGAGTTGGAAGTTTGTTAAAAATCAGTTTTGGGGAAAAAGGGTAAAATAGTAATCTATAGGAAAGTTTGTTATTTTGATTCTCTCTTAGCTGGCTTATTTGGGTATTAATAGGTGTCTTGGGTTAAAGGAAGGAATTAGAAAATTTAATGGGAAGTTTGTTGTGTGGGAAATTAAAGTTCCTTCCTCTTGTATTGAAGGCATTGTATTGCTGAATACTCTGTTTAGTAATACAAATATCCCCTTGGCTGCTATTTTCTACCTCTTTTTTGCTTGTAATCTTATTGTTTTCGTACGAATTTCTAGCAACCGCGAGATTGATCAAACGCCCCACAAGTATCCGATAAGCTTTTGTAAGTAACTCTCCTCTATTAGCTAGGTTGAGCTTATGGTTTTGCACAATGGGAAACCTACTTGTCTTAGCACCTAACAAACCAGCTTCCGAAATGATTTCCAATCTGAAATCCGACAACCTCTATGCCAAATAAATATTTAAGAGACTAAGGTCTTTCATCTTAAAACAATCACTTAGATAAGCTTTGAAAGTAACAATTGCACTGGAATCATTCCGAACCAGATCATTAACATAAACTAAAACATTAATTTGAACTTTTGCTTACGTTAATGTGAATTTAAGTAATCTGAATAAGATTGAATAAAACCACTTTTTCAAAGTAGTGACTTGTTTGGCAAACCAGCATCGCGGAGCTTGTTCAAATCATACAAGGACTTTCTCAATATGCAACCCAAAGATGGATCAGAACTTTCAAGGGAGACAGCTTCATATACACTTCTTCTTCAAGGTCACCATGGAGAAAGGCATTGTGTACATCCATTTGGTCGAGTTCCCAATTTTTAAACGCCATAATAGCAAAAAAAAGCCCGAACATCAGTCATGTTTGCAATCAGAGAAAACGTCTCATTATAATCAATAATTTCTTTTTTATGATTACCAAATATGACTAACTGAGCCGATCAACATCTTCATTAGACAAAAACTTGGTCTTATAGACCCATTGACAGCGAAGAGCGCGTTTTTCAAGAGGAAGACGCTCCAAAGTTGATGTACCATTATCCTCCAAAGCCTGTATTTTGTCTTTCGTGGATTTGCACTAACCCTCCGATTTCATTGCCTCCTTAAAATTCTTCGGCTCCTTGCTTTTAACGATAGCTGCAAGAAATGTCCGATAATACAAAGAAAAATTGTCACAATATATATAAAGTGCTAAAGGATACGGAGTAGGAATTTGAGACGGAGTTAGGTAGACTATTAGCAAAAACCTTATGAATAACAAAATCTTGAAGCAAAACCAAAGGATATTTTTACCCCCAACTCGGAGCTTTGTTGTTATGTTAACTATTGTTGACTGGTTTGCTGCCGCAGGTCCCAAAACCTCATTAGCGCCCAAATCAGTGTTGCGTAAGGAAATGACATCTTCAAGCCTGGGCGATGGGCTGAAGCGAGTCGTCAGTATTTGTAGCTGGAGTACATGAATTGCCATTAACAGTTTCCAAAGAATTATCACCAACAATACCAACATGATTCGCATTATTATCACCTTAATCATAGTCTGCAACATAGCTATTTGAATCAATATTCACATCATCCGGGTAACTAAATGGAAACACATCTTCAACAAACTTGACATCTTGAGGGACAAAAAATTCCTTTTTATCAAGATATACAACCTCCACCCTTTTTGTCCAAATGGTTATCCCATACAGACTTTCGACTTCTAGTAGCATATTTATCCCTTTTGGTTTTTTTATTGTGAGCAAAGCAAAGACAACAAAAAATATGAATTGTATCAAAAGATGGGGATTTATTGAAGAGAATTTTAAAAGGGGTTTTATTTTGCAAGAGAAGAGTTGGGGTGCGATTAATAAAATGAGTTGTAGCTAGAACACACTCCCCCCAAAAAATAAATCGGTTATTTAGCTTGGAATCGTATTGCTCTCCTAACAATTAGAATGTGTTTATGTTTTCGCTCAACCCTCCCATGTGTTGCGGTGTTCTAAAACAAGAAGTTTGAAACACAATACAAATAGCCAAAAAATAGTTGAACGAACAATTAAATTCAATACTATTACCACTTTGAACTATTTTAACAGCTATAGAGAATTGACAATCAACCATAGCAATAAAAGCCATAAACATTTGAAAAACCTCCATTTATCAATAAGAAAATAGATCCAAACTACTCGGGAATAGTTATCAACAATAGTTAGAAAATAACTAGCCTCACACGACGAAGCATGTTGATAAGGACCCCATACATCACAATGTATTTTTTCAAAAATTCTACTACTTTTTATTGTCACTTAAAGGAAACTTGTCTCTAGGGGGCTTAGCACGAAAACATACTTCATAGCCTTTATTAAAACTACTATTATTGCTACGAACATGAGGAAGTAACTTAACCACTTTCTCGGAAGGATGACCCATACGCCTTTGCCATAACTCCAAGCTCGAAGTTGCCGCAAGTGTCGAAATATGTCGTTGAAGTTCCGATTTTCTAAAAAGTATAGTCCATCTCGCCCAACTCTCGCTCCATTCAGCTCCTTCATTTGGTCCTATATAGCACACATATATTAGTTAAATTGGACAATAGTTTTCAAATTATCATTGAGTTGAGAAACGGAATGCAAATTGCAACTCAAATTAAGAACATACCGTGATGAAGAGTAATCGTGTCAAATAGCCGGACCGAGCCTTCTAAAGAAGCTAGCATCGTGTAAGCCATGATTTCTCACTCTTGGCATGATGAGTAACACCAGTGTCAATAATCCAAGAAGTGACATGGAACTAACCATTTAAGCGATTTTCCGAAATTTTAATGTTATCGAAAAATCGAGTTAGATCCTTTCATTGCTCACTAGTGAAGAATTGACCACTTGATGAATTTTCTATGGCCGGGGAGGAATTAATGATGCTAGCATTCGCACGCACCGTACCCTCCCTTGACCATCGGCGGGGGAAATCCATTAATTTCATAGCAACTATCAACATTGTGCCCTTTCTTTTTGCAATGAGTGCACATTTGATGATACCAACAACACAAAACATCATGACCCGACCTCTTACAATGGGAACAAACCTTTACCAGACGGTCATCCCACTAGGTCAGCTAGTGTCATGACCTTTATCGACACGTGTACGAACGACAAAACCCTGCACCTCCGTGGGTTTACTTTTAGATTCTTGCTTGGCCAAACAAACCCGCTCCTCTTGCGGAACCAATTGATAAGCACGATCAAGAGTAGTTAACATATCTTGAGATAAGATATTGGTACGCAAGGAGGCATAATAATTGGAATACAAACGCATCAAAAAATCATGATGTCTCAATTGCTCACGTCGTGCTTCACGAAGCTGTTGGGCTATGTATTTGTAGCAACACGAAGAGGAAATTAATGGTTCGTGATGATCAAGTTCTTACCATAAGGAATATAATTTTCCATAGTACACCGAAACAATCATTGTTTTAGTCTGCTCACATTTAGCAACATCAGACTTCAATTGTTAA